TTATAATAAAAGTGAGTACAAATTTGAAACAAAAATAATTTAAAAGAAAGATGCAAACGGAGACCATACATATAGTGTAGTCCATTATTAGCAAATGTGACCCAAACAAAAAACAATGTTGGATTGCGTATGCGTAGAATAGAAATAATGAAAAGAAATTAGGATCGATCACGGTCAAAACTTTATTAATTAGTTGAGTGACTTAACTAGTGGTTTCATAAAAAAGCTTGATATATATAAATCCTCATTTTATGAAATATTGCTAAATTTATTATTTGTTTTCCATTCTTCATACCATTATGTCTCATTTATAGCCTTATTGCAAGTTAGAACAACTTATTTTCACTAGTTACAACAATCTTTCATAATAACATTGATTTTTGTTAAATGAAAAACTATTTATTGTGAAAGCAAAAATTTTGGTAATTATTACCGAAAAAATTGACTAAAATAACTATAACTAGAAAATTATCCAATTAAATAGTTAAGTAATTTTGATATAATAGAAAGTATGTGATACTTATGAAGATTACTTTTTCTCTTTTACAAATCTTCATTTTGATGTTACGAACATCACAATCTCATATAAACGACGTCATGGAGCAAATGAGGTTGCCAAAGAAATCCAACTCAACCATCAACTTGAAGTTGAACATCACAATCTCCACATCCCTCTTGTATATCATTAATTTTCATTTGATGTTCGTGATGTTGAATCTTAAATGTTGTTTAGTTTGAAAAACTAATTTAAAATATAATTCATCTCAAAGCTTAGTTAAATTAGTTTTGTAGCATTATTAACCGTTTACATCATATATACAATAATCTTTTCTTTAATTATGGTCATTTTCGACAATATCAAAACATTGTTGTGAGATGCAATGACAATCAACGTTTTAAATTCCTAGTTATATTAATTACATGATATAAAACTTAATTAGTCATTTCATAATAAAGCTGGATATAAATAAATCGTCATCTTATGAAATATTGCTAACTTGTAATTTTGTTATCCATTGTTTATATTATTGTGCCTCATTTTTAGACTTACTATAAATTTAAACAACATATTTTCACTAATTAAAATAATATCTCGTTGCAACATTGATTTATATTAAATGAATATGATGATGAACCGTAAATGTTGTTTGATTTGAAAGAATGATTTAAAAACTCAATCCAACTCCAAACTTGATTTATTATGATGGTAGCATTATTAACCATGTAAATCATATATATAATAATATATTTTTATTTATTGTCATTCTCGACAATATAAGAACATTGTGACGTAATGCAAACAAAATAAATATTTTAGACTCATAATTATGTTATTTATATGATAAAAAGTTTAATTACTCGTTTCATAATAAAGTTTGATATATATAAATAATTAATTTAGCTGACTTGCAATTTTTTATCCATTCCTTATACTATTGTATTTCATTTTTAGTCTTATTACAAGTTAGAGCAACATAATTTCATTAATTACTACAATCTCTTGTAATAACATTTATTTGTATTAAATGAAAAACCTTTTAAAATCATTAATTTTCATTAGATGTTCATAATGTAGAGCAGTAAATGCACTTTGGTTTGGAAAAATGATTTCAAAATCCAAACCAACTCCAAACTTGATTATATTATTTTTTAAGCAGTATTAACCATGTACATCACATAGTAATGT